GATGCCTCAGTTGTCCCAACTTGGGACTGAAGGCCCAATAGAAATCCTCCAGATTTCTAGATAGACAGGTCCTCAGTTCCTGGCGAAACCAAATCAAAGTTGAAGAAGCTAAGTTCTGATCTCATTGGTGGCAGTAGCAGACACAGTAAGAGAAGATACAATGTTTCTTTATTGCAGTGAAGGCAATTACGCGAAAGGCAAAGTTTCCATCCTCAGAAATTCTTACCTGAAGGCTGTTAACCTGAAGGTGCGGTCTGCCATTGGGGAGGGGCCCTAGTAAGTCAGTTCTTCTAGGAGTACCCTCACCCACCCACCCAGAGACAAGTCTCCAGGCTGACAACCAAGATCAATCATCACGAAGCCCTACATCCAATCCCCAGCATCAGAAGTTCAAGATCAGGCATGCAAGATGATGCCCCAAGTAAAGCGTTCAGAGCTTAATGGACCAGCTTACCCCCCAGAAGGCATGAGAAAATGGAAGGAAATAGTCAACTCTGCTGGTCCCCACATGTACATTGTGATTTATGCATGTTCAATGATAATAATAATGATCATAGTAATAATAATAGTTTACAATGATTCATGGGATTTTTTTCATAGCTTGATTTATGGACAGACTTTAGTGGTGGAAGACTATTCATGAGTTAAGGTGGGGAAAGGCAGAAAACTCTAGAAAAAGGCTGGAATTGTCTAAGAATGGAGTCTATTCCTCTTTTCTGCCCTTATATAGAGTTTTCTAACACGGCATTGTATCAGATGCATGATGGGATTTTTGCAAGGCCAATGATGTGAAGATACCGCTTGTGTTGTTTCTGTCGACTATCAATTTGACGGGACCCATGAAAGAAGCTTCTGGGCATGCCTGTTGGGAACCAAACAAATTAAGAGAGCCTCTGTGTATGTTGGGGGACCGTCCAGATGAGGTTAGCCTCTGATTATGTCTGTGGGGAACAATCCAGATTAGGTTAGCCTCTGGGCATGCCAGCGGGGGACTGTCCAGATGAGGTTAGCCTCTGATTATGTCTGTGGGGAACAATCTAGATTAGGTTAGTCTCTGGGCATGCCTGTGGGGGACCATCCAAATTAAGTTAGCCTCTGGTTATGTCTGTAGGGAACGATCTAGATTAGGTTAGCCTCTGGCCATGCTTGTAGGGGACCATCCAGATTGGGTTAGCCTCTTGGCTTGCCTGCAGGGGACCATGCACCTCTTGGCTTGCCTGCAGGAAAGCATACAGACTGGGTTATGACCTTCTGAGAGGAAGAACCACTGAATCAGAAGTGAAAGAATTTAGGAAAGGGGGTCAGGAGGTCTCATTCAAGCCTGTCTTACGTTAAGTAAGTGTATTAAGAAGGACAGCCTCTTATATACAGTTTTCAGGGGGAAAATAGGTCAGGGTTGGCAGAAAGCCATCGTACGGTGGGATAAAGTTAGCAGGAAGCTAATCAAGAAATGTTTCACAGAAGAAACACAGGATAACTCGCCTGTCACAGACTAAGTGCTCAGCAGTCATAGCACTTCAGGGAGGGGAAAGTTGAGTTCTCAGGCTCAGAAACTGAAACTCCTCCAAGACCCTGTTCCCGGGCCAGTGCCACACAAATGTCTGGTTTTAAGCAGGCAAACATTGGAGAACAACTTTCGAGTACCGGTATTTTTTTTTTTTTTCCTTTCCACCTTGTGCATTCTGGGGATTGAACTCAGGATTTTAGGTTTGGATTAGCTTTACTACCGAGCAATCTCATCAGACTCCTGCATTTTAAAATTATTATTTTTTACGTGTGTGTGTGTCTGTGTGCCACGTGTGTGGGTGTCCTCAGAGGGCAGAAGAGGGTGCCAGGTTTTCTGGAGCTGGAGTTAAAGCCAGTTGTGAGCTACCTGATTCTGAGGACAGAACACAGGTCCTCTGGAAGAACATGACGGGCTCCTAACTGACAAGCTGTCTCTCCAGCCTCCCTCCTTTCTGTTGTTGCTGTTATTGAGTTTTTTGTTTGATTTTTGGGACAGGATTTCCCATGGGCCTGGGTCTTCCTCATTTGGCATTCTGGTTGGCCACTAAGCTCCCAGAGTTCCACCTGTTCCCCCTCCCAGCGCTGGTGTACACTGCAGTGCTGGGCTTTTTCAGTGTATTTTGGATGTGGGTTCTCATGCAGATACTGGCAAGCATGTATTGACTGAACCATGTCTCCCAGCTCCTAAAGCTTTTTCTTTTCTTTTTTTTCTTTTTGAAATGATTCTAAACTCACCTGAAATTTGTAGCTCAAGGGACAAAAATCCAGTAGATGTTAAGAACAGTATCTTATCATAGGCGGGGGGAGTGCTTCTCCCAAGAGTGCTCCTGCTCCCCACCCCACCCCAGGACCCATCAACCTCTTTTCTGAGGAGCCTGTGGTGTGCACTGTGTGTGCTAGGACAGGATCAGCATGCCTTCAGGATGCTCCTGTCTCTGTCTTCTTAGTCCTGTGATTACAGGCACAGGCGGCCATGCCCAGCATTTTCCACGGTTGTTGGGGATCTGAGCTCAGACCTCCATGTTAGGCAGCGAGCCCTTTACTCACCGAGCCAGCTTCTTGGCTCCTCGTCACCTCTTTGATTCTGCAGGGTTATAGAATCACCTCTACTGTTTAGGTTTTTTTGTCAACTTGAAAAAAAACTCTAGTTGCCCGGAAAGAGGGAACCTCAACTGTCAGATTGGTCTATGGGCATGACTGTGTGACATTTTCTTGGTTTATGATTGATGTGGAAGGGCCCAACCCACTTTGGGCAGTGCCATTCCTGGGCAGGGGCCTATGGGTTGTGTAAAAAAGTGGGCAGTTCCATTCTTGGGCAGGGGCCTATGGGTTGTGTCAAAAAGCAAGCAGTATTCCTCTATGGTTTCGGTTTTAGTTCCTGCCTCCAGGTTCCTGCCCTGACTTCCCTTCGTGAAGGACTGTTATTTGGAAGTACAAGAGGAAATAAGCTATGTCCTTCCTTCCCAAACAACTTGTTTCTGGTCAGAGGTTTTTTTTTTTTGTTTGTTTGTTTGTTTTTTTATCACAGCAATAGAACTCAAACTAGAACCCTACCCCTATCTAGTTGGGGAAATCAGAGAGGGTCATCCAAAAACTGTGTTGGGCCTGCTTGTCCCAGACACACACACACACACACACACACACACCCACACACACACACCCACATGCCGATGCCACATGGTCTGTTTCTGAGCCCTCTGTGGTAGGCCTGTGTTTTAGAAACAGGAAGAGCCCAGAGACCCTGTGGCATCTTCCAGAGGAAGTACTGCATACCTGGGACAGCTGGAGGCCGGTACCTCAGGTCTTCTCAGAGCTTGTCTGGCTCTTGAGCAGTTCATCTGGCAGAGCTATGATCTAGGGTGGGAGACATAGGCTTTCTGGACCTAACTCTCTGCTGGGCCTTGTCTTAGAAGGCCTGGAGAGTCCCACCTAGAATGTTCCTATGCCACCTATTCATAGCTGGGACTTAATCTCAATGTGCTTGCACTGGTTCACGAGGACTGGACTCTCCCGATTGAAGCTGGTGTCGTTTCTGTTGCTGTGACGCATACCCAGACAAAACAACTTACAGGGAGAATGTTTATCTTGGCTTACAGCTCTAGAGGGATGGGCTCCATCATGGTGGGGAGAACTTGGTGGCAAGGGCAGGAAGGTGCTAATCACTTCATATAGGAACTCTGGAAGCAGAGAGAGAACAGTAGGTGGGGCTATATGGACTTCCTACTTCCTTCTTTGAGGCTACACCTCCTAAAGGCTCCACACTCTTTCCAAATAGCCCCAAGGATGTTTCCAGACCTGGTCACAGGTGGCCCACATTCCCTCACTCTTAAAATGGAGAGACCTCAACTAGATGTACCCCCCCTCCCCTGTATGCTAGAGTCACACATTCCTTACCCAGAATTTCTTGCCCTCCCCTGCTACCCAGGCATCAGGGACAGCCTGGCTGCAAGCAAGCTCACACCCTGCAACTTACCCCCCCTCTTTCTGCAATTCAGTAGAAATGGCTTCTACTCTACCTGAGAACCTGAACTCACGCTGTCTTTCTACCTATGGCATTGGAGCTTGAGCTATCCTCAGAACCCATGCCATGCTGTTGTCCTTCTGTCTGTCCAGGGCATTAATAACTCTTATAATAAACTTCTTATACAAAGGGAAAACCTGCTTCAGTGTAACCCTCCAACCTCAGACCTTTCTGAGCCTACGGTGGTCATCTCCCCCACCCCCACCTCCCATTGGATGACCTGCAGCCCCTTCCTTGCCTGTTCTGGGTTGGGAGCATACAGGGTAGGGCGCCGTCTCTGCGCTGCGATGCTGATGTAACTGGGCTGGCAAGAATGAGGATATACTAAGGAGACCCTGTTCCCCTCCCTTTGGAAATCAGACTATAGATCCCCCAATTGAAGCGCCTCAAGAATCTCATGTCGGGAAAAGAAAAGGGCTCATGTCTATGCCAGATAGAGGGTAAACTTTTCCCCTGGAAAGAGATCTGTAATTTGTTGGATCACCTTGTAGGGGAATGGAGCCGAGATGAAGGCGAGGCAGTGGTGGCTGGTCTACAGCTTGACTGGGAAGGCCGAGCTCTCTCTGTCTCTCTTTCAATGTGTTGACACTGAATACGTCACCTTGCCTGTCTTTTCGCTATTAATCTGATGCTTTAAGTTGGTCTATTGAGAGTGGGTGGCTGAACTTGACTTGTTGGGACTGCCAGAGGCACAGGCTGTGAGTCTAGAGTCCACAGCAGTGAGAAGAAGTCCAGTTAGGGCCTGTACTTGTCCAGGCTGCTGGGTCCCCTGTCTGGTGGTTGAGGTAGCCGGTCATCTGGGGCCACAGCTGGGCCTAACTTCAGCATGTTGTTATAGATACATAATATAACACATTGGGGGTCAGGGGGACATTGCTGGAATTTCTAGGTGCTTTGTTTGGTTTTTCTGTCAAGGAAAAAGGAACTGGACCAAGGACGGACATATGGATAATGGGAGAAGAAGAGAACATTTTTTCCCATTTGACTACCGCATTTTCTCCTAGTAGATTTTAGTGGCTGTGTTTATGGGGTAGATGAAAAGTGCCGTGATCTGAGAGGGAGGACTTTTCGATGTCTTCCCCCTATATGAGATGGCTGAACAGGAAAAAAAGAAAAAAAAAGAAAAGGAGACCATTTATTAAGAAAGATGGCATTTCCACGGAAGGAAGTGGGACCAAGTTTGGGAAAGGTCAAAGGCTCAACAGTGAATCTATCTCTACAAACAGGTGACACTTTCGTAGGTCAGTATGGTGCACCTTTGCTCATTCACACAGTGAGGACTCTCTCCCCGCTTGTTAGCCAGCAGCCCCAGGTCCGCGTGTTCTTTTCTCTCGGTCACTGGTTTCTTCTTTATGCTGATTTTGACCTCACTTCTACCCTACTCTTCTCTGTTGTGGCCTCTCCTTGAGAGTGGGGGTGGGAGGTGGGAGATGGAGGGAAGGAGTGAGGGTGTGGGAAGCCAGGGGTGGGAAGTAAAGGGTGGGTGGTGTGGGCGTGGAGTGGGAAGTGGGGTGTGGGGTGGAGCCTGGGCTGCTTTTGACTTCCAATAGAACCAGGTGTGTCGCTGGGCGTGTCACTGGGCGTGTCGCTGGGCGTGTCACTGGGTGTGTCGCTGGGCGTGTCACTGGGCGTGTCACTGGGCGTGTCGCTGGGCGTGTCGCTGGGCGTGTCGCTGGGCGTGTCGCTGGGCGTGTCGCTGGGTGTGTCGCTGGGTGTGCTGCTGGGTGGCTCCTCAGTTTCACTTCCCTGCTTCAGTTCCCTGTCCTTGAAAACATGGTGGAGACCTCTCTCCTTCCTCCTTTTCTGACCTCCCTCCCTCCCTTCTCAACTCTTTCTCCCCCTCTCCCTTTCTTCTCTCCTCTTCCCCCTTCTTTCTCTTCCCTCCCTTTCTGCCTCCTTTCCTCTTTTCCTCTCTCTCCACTCTTCTTCCTCCCTCCCTCCTTGTTCCTTTCTTTCCTCCTCTCCCTACTCCTCCCCAGTTCCCCTCTCCCCATTTTCCTTCCTGTTTTCCCCTTCTTCGTTCTTCTCTCCCCTTACTTCTCCTTCCCCTTTCTTTTTCTGCCTTTTCCTCCTCACTCTTCCGTTTCCTACCCCCTTCCTTCCTCCTCCCCAGCTTCTTTCTTCCCATCCCTGTCTCAATGATCCTTCTTTCCCCCTTCCTGTCCCTCTCTCCTTTCCTGCCTCTCCCCTTCCCTCTCTGTAGCCTCCTCTCTCCCCTCTTTATTTCTCTCTCCTGCTCCCCTTCTTGCCCTATTCTTCCTTCTTTCCCATTTCCCGTGCCTCTCTTTGCACACATCCATCCTTCCAAAACACACTTAACATTCATCTGCAGGGGTGCAAGGCAGGGAAGGTGTCTTATTAGACCAGATTTGGCCCTGAGTGACAGCCAGTGTCACTGCCACAGTGCTCAGGTCACAGAAGCAGCTAGCCCCTAGTCCCTTGGCTTCCCGCCAGGAAGGGCAGGGACTCTAGACCCTTGGTCACCTGCCAGGATGGACAGGGAGGGGTTCTGGGAAAGCTGGGGCTTAGGGTGGTGGGTTAGAGTGACAGTCAGGTCATCACCTCAGCTCCCAGGCAGGCAGAAGCCCCAGATCGCTCACAACTGCTGTAGCAGCTCACAGAACCCAGGGTTGGTACCCAACAAGGTGACCAAGTATCAGAGCTAATTTTGTATGACATATCTGTCCCTTTGGCAGTTGGGTAAAATCTTCAGAGTCCCTAATAAAATAATGGGTTTCAATTCAAGTCAAATTATAGAATTCTAAAAGGAGACAACTGTATGCAAATGCTGCTGCCCAGCCATTTCAAAGGCAAACGTGGTTTGCAGAAGGAGGTGAGTTTCTTCTCTATTTATACCCCAGGACAAGCGCTAGCCTGGTTCAGCGCTCACACCGTAGTTCCATAAACCCCAGCAGCGGCAGTGGTGGTGCAGCTCCACATTGTGACTCCCAGCAGCCCGAAGTGTTCCCTCAGTCGTGTAGGGACTCCAGCAACGTGAAAGCGGATCGTCGGCTTCAGTGTAGGAAAGAATTTCAGGATGAGCCAAATGCAGGCATGGAGTTTATTAAGAGATATTCCAGCACGGGGTTTAGAATGAGGGTTAAGGGGGAGGACTCGTGCTTGGGAAGAACAGAAGGCACACCCCAGAGCATGGGTATTGAAGGCATACCCCAGAGCATGGGTATTGAAGGCACACCCCAGAGCATGGGTATTGAAGGCACACCCCAGAGCATGGGTATTGAAGGCACACCCCAGAGCGTGGGTATTGAAGGCACACCCCAGAGCGTGGGTATTGAAGGCACACCCCAGAGCGTGGGTATTGAAGGCACACCCCAGAGCGTGGGTATTGAAGGCACACCTCAGAGCATGTGTATTGGTGTCTCAAAAGAGAGCCACGTTTCCTTGTCTTTACAATAGCCACACATAGGATTTAGTTGCTTAGAAGCTATCATCCTCAAAAGGATGCCAAGGAACCCGGATGAGATGACAGGATGGTTCATGACCTGTACCTGGCAGTCTTACAATGGATAAGGTACAACTCTTAGACTACACGGTTATAGGTAAACAGTTAAGTCTTATGTGAGATTCCCCGAAAATGTCAGAGAGACAGATGAGACGCCTGGTTTGTTACTATGTTAATTTAAAATATCTATACATGAAAGGAACATTATCTGTGTGTCAGTATGGGGAAGGAGTAAGCCAGGTGTCTTGCAAAGAAACACACGTAGTAACTCAGGAAGGTGATTTCTTTTTGCAAGAAGGGTACGCCAGAATCGAAACTGGGCTAGTGAGCATGCAGGGTTCAAGGTGGCCTTCGTCCTTGATCCCTAATCCAGGTGGTGACTGTGTCTCTTCCCTTGGGTGGGGCTTGCACACCACAATCTGATTCAATGAGCTGATGAGTATGAAGGGAAAGAACATGCTAGAACTCAGGAAACATCTAAGGTTATGGAAACCCCTATTCAGGGACTGTCGGTTCCTGTCAGGCTACCTACAGTGGGAAGGGAACAATGGTGTTAGCATCTGCAACCTTCACAGTGAAGGCTGTTGACAGTGCTGGGGTCCCTGCTTCTCAGATATGGAGGGGCTTTACCCAGACTCAGCATCCAGGAACTCCTTTTCCTTCCCCATCGTTTTCCTGCCCTGCCTCAACAGGGCGGCAGAGCCATCACCTCGGCAGAGGGTGAGAGCAAGAAGGGCATCTCCAGGCCCCTTCTGGGTGGTCGAGTGACATCCCAGCAGTTGCTTTTCTCTTGCTCTCAGCAGCCAGACACTCCTCGGATTACACTGGCATTTGGGGCTTGGGATCTGGCCACATATTTGAATCTTTTCCTCTTCATTTGCACAGAAACCCGAGCAGCTTCTGTAGCCTGATTGCACCATTAATCATTGTGTGACTGCTTCTGCAAGCCCAGGGAAAACTGCCCTTCCTCCTTCTTCCTCGTTGTGGTTTTATTTGGTGTTTTCCCTCTATGATTTCCAATATGGTTTCTCTTCCCTCCCCTCCCCTCGTTTTCCCTGGCCTTCTCTCCCCTTCCCATTACCCACAGGAATAGGACTTCCCTGTCCCCGTTCTCCTGAATGAGCCAGCATGGGGTTAATCAATTTGTATCTCTTAGTGGCCCAAGAGATAAGGCTGGCAGACACAGTCATGTCCATCACACACACACACACACACACACACACACACACACACACACACACTTCTTTGTTCCTTCCTAAGAACTGGTTTGGCCACAGAAAGAAAGCTAATTAATCAGGGCAAGACACAATCATTAGGAAAAAAAAATCGCAGGGTGGAGATCAATGGTTTCATAGAAGTCAGAACTGTGTGGTTTGCTCCCTTCTTTGCCTTTTCCTTTAACATAGGAGATACTGGCAAGGAGGAGAACGAAGGCCCTTTTCCAAAGGCTTTCGCGGCTTGGCTCTCAAGGGACCTCTTCCTAGTGCTGTCTGCTGGCTGGGTGCTGGCCGCTGCAGCCCTCCTATGCTGATGGGTTATTTGTTCACTGCACGCATTTTGGCAAGGGTAGACGTCTGTTTTTTCATCATCTCTGGCTAACCCAGGGCTCTAACCTTGGTCCTCAGCCAAGGCCTGGATGCAGAAAGTCTGCTCGTCCTCTAGGGATGCTCAAACCCACTGGTGAAAAGTGCAGGCATGTTGGCGGAGGCTGCTTGTTTGTTTCTCGGCCTCCCAGACCCAAAATAATCACATAGAAGCTATATTAATTACAACACTTCTTGGCCTATTAGCTTATGCATATTTCTATTTAGCTCTTACGTCTTAAATTTACTCATCTCTGTTGATCTGTGCATCACTGTGAGGTCATGACCTACTGGCAAGATACTGCCAGGCTCCTGTTGTCTCCATCAAGTGTCTTCCTCCTTTGGAGGCTACATGGCATCTCTCTGACTCTGCCTACTCGCTCTATATCTCTGTTCAGATTTTACGCCTAGCTTTACTCTGTTAAGCCATTGGCCAAAAGCAGTTTCTTTATTAACCAACGGCAATAAAACATATTCACAGCATACAGAGGGGAATCCCAGATCATAGGCTGTCCCTTTCTCAGATACTTTCTGGTACCTAAATTCCAGCCTCAAGCCCAGGATCTTTTGCCTGAGGAAGCTTATGGGAGTGGGCCTGTCTTTGTCAGGGCAAACCTTTCCCTCTCTGTTTCTACAGGCCTTGTCCCAAGATCCTAGAGGAAGCAGTCACGTACTTCCAGAGTCCCTTCATTTAGCCACAGGCCTGAACAGGAACAGAGCACAGGCCTTAGGGAGCCCATTTGGGGTCAAATGTTAAGGGTCCCCCCAAACATCGCATACACACATTTGTATGTCTCTAACTGGAATGTACCCTTCTTGAGCACCAGCCCTGATTCCTTGGAGCGAGGACTAGGCTGCCTGTGTATGGCCGTGGTCACAGTGAGCTCAGCCTCCTCGTTCCAGAACTAGAAGGGCTGAGCAGAGGCTCTACCCAGAACACAGTTGCCGAGGTCTTTCTCCTTTCCAAATGTAGAAGACGCTGCTAACATCTAAATCTAGACATAGCTCCACACCTGTCTGTCTAATATATTACTATTACTGTCAACACTGTTACTGTTATTGC